GTGTGCATGTATGCTTGTGTGGGTGTTTGTATGTATGCTGTGCTATATGACTCCCATGAATCCAAAGCCTCTTATCGGCTGAGTCTATGTTTACACCTTACGCATGTACCTTGAACACATCAAAAGTACATTTGAAATATATTGTGTACTCTTAGTGTTGAGCTGTTTGTGATGGCACAGGATATTATATACTGGATAAGCTTTTATAGTGAATAATATGGCTAAAGGACCAAAAGGTTGTACCTTCTCAGTGTAATCACAGGTGTAAAAAAAAAACCTCTGCTCCTGTTGTACAGCCTTCTCTGTCTCAGGATTTAGGATCATTTGGGCTTCAAAGCCTGTGAAAGCAACATTCAACCACTAAAGCTGCTCCGATGTTTTGAGTGCTGTCTGCAGAAGTAAAATGTTCAAATAGCTGTTTTCTTTAATGCTGGCAGTACTCCTTACAGCTCTACTTGCTTACTTTTATCACCAAGTAAGTCACAAAAGTTGTCTTCAAGCTGTACTTATGGGTAATAATCTTAAAAATTAGGAGAAATCTTTAAGCTAGACAGAAATGAATATTAAACCACTATAGGTATTATAGCACAAGTGGTGTTTATAAATAATTGAATAACTATAAAAAATAAATTTACTGTAGAATATCTTTAATATACTGTGGTTAACACTTGCAAGCTGAATGTTCAGACATTTCTAAATCCAAGTAAAGGAAAATCTTTCTTTGTTACTTTGCATATGACCAAACTTTACTGTTTTTTTTTAGCAATCGGGCAGACAGACTTAAATACAAATAAGCGAAGATATAGGAAAGACATGACAGTCTTTTTGTCAGAGATAAGAACTGATATATATTGAAAAAATAGCATTATAGAACAATTCTGCCATTTTTCAGGAAAGGAGCAGGTTTGCAGAAACTGTTCCCCTCGTTGCCTAACTTGCTCCTGAACAGGTCTTGGACACTAAATGATACTTTCATTTCAGTACAAACTTACAAACCAGCTTATGAATGCATCATCGTCATATTGTAGGGTCCAAGAAGAAAATCACACTGACGTAAAAACAAAAACCATTTCAACCACTTATTTTTATTACTTTATGTGACATACAACCAACAAACACACCATGGTGGAAAATAGCTTGGATAAATTACAAATACAGTTATATTAATATAAATACAATATTATGTTGTTATTTTATCTTTATCACTCTTAAATGTTTTGTTATTTTGTCAATAGAGTGGAAAGTTAATGGCAAACAAATATAACTACCTGGTGATGGTATTTCTCACTTTCAATTTGTCAATCTGAATTTAAAATCTTCAGATATATTCTCTAATTTAAGAGTACTCTTTGAAATATGTGTACGCTTATGTGTTTACTTGAGCCTATGAGAAACACAAAATGCTTGAGCGTTTCTTGTTTTGCAGTGCTCTGGGGGGATTATAGCCTATCATTGCCAGTATTCATGCTCCACAGACGTGGGTGAGACAAAATATTTGATTACTTTATGTGTGTCTGTCTTGTCTTAGTTGTTTTCTCTGTGTCATTCAGATACAGTGCCCACCTGACTTTGTATAGAGATTTCAAAACTCTCCATGACGCCTTCATGGGCCCTCTGTACATTGTTCAAATGATCTGTGATTGTGGAGCTGCTGACTCTGTTCTCAGTGCTGCTGTGTTATTTTCTTCTTCTGATCGTACAAGAATGATTATATTATATCTTGTTCTTTCTCTCTTACTTTCCAATTGTTTTTTTTTCTGTGTCTGTGGTGCTTTGTGCTGTGACAAGCCTATATGATGCCAACAATGCTTTTATCTTTTCTATTTCTCTTGTAATAAAAACAAAATCATGCAGTATTACCTGGTCTCGACATTTTATATTGTTTTACTTCACTCGAGTTGGAAAACAAGATTAAACTGCAGCAGTTTTGACTTACTAAAGAGCTATATTTTAAAGCTGTAACCAACACTTCTTCTTATCCTCCATCACCCTTTTTTCTAACCACAGCTACCTGTCAAAGATACCAAAGTGAGATCAGGCAGAGGGGTTTTATTCAAAGATAATCATGACTGTACTCATCATCACATGGTTTGAATTTTGAAATAGCCTACAAATACAATACTCCTTGGAAATCAATTTGTAATAGGCTACACTTATTTACTCCTTCACTGATCTTTCTTTTGTAAACATTAATGTGAAGAATAATTAAGTGTACATGAACAATACAGAATGATAGATACATTTCCATAGTTAGGCTACTATTACTGTTTACGAAAATAAGCAGGAATACTTTTCTTGTGGTTTGACCTGGTTTAACTATTTACGACGGAGGATTAGGGCCACGTTAAAAACATTTTTTTTAAATTTCATTTCGAGATTAAAGTCGTAAATTTACGAGAATAATCTCGTAAATTAACCAGTTCGAGACCAGCCTGCGCAAAATGATGAAAGCAGAACTCTTAAAAGTATTTTCCTCTGCAGACAACTTCCTCCATGTCAGTGTGGTTCTTTCTTCCGAAAAGCCACAGTTTCTTGCAGTATCTTTTCAGGGTGCTGATATTTTATGACAATGTGAAGATGATGATGATGATGTGCCAAAAGCATGTGTAGTTTCATATCTGCGTAAGTGAAGCCCCAACACAACTATTTGTGTCTGTTATCGGTCTGCCTTGTTAAAGTGTCTCATGTGCAGAGCCAGTTTGTGTCCTGTTCATCATTTTACAGATAAACAAGGTCTTGCAAGTTGAAGTGAAAACCTCTCTTGAACTGACTGTTTTTACCGACTACACAAGGAAGTAGCCTATTTCCTTATTAGTGAAACCTTTAGGACAAGATGCTGCTGCTCTTCTGATAGAGACTAAAATAACGACTTTATTATTTTATTCTTTAAAGACTTTAAGAGTTCTACTTTCATCATTTTCGCGCAGGCTGGTCTCGAACTCGACTGTAATCTCGATTTTTATTTTTATTTTTATTTATTTTTTTAACGTGGCCCTAATCCTCCGTCGTAAACTATTAGTTCCCTTCTTCCCTTTACTTTGAATATTCATAGTCACCATTCACCATTATGCTACAGCTTGCTTTAACCCCACGGTGTCCACCAGGCGGCGGAGTCTCAGTATCCTCGGGTGCCAGAGCAGGTGCGTCGAGGTGAGCGCAGCGCGGAGAGCTCGGGTAAATCCGTCGCAGCTCGGCGCCTCGGCAGTGGATCGCTGTGGATGTGGGAATGCGGTTTGCTTGAGGCAGGCGGTTATTGCTGGACAATCGCGGGGAGATGAGCACACAGAAACAGGAGCCCTCCGCGGTTGGCTGTCGTCCAAGTTAGCGGGGCTGTTTTGGGGGCGGAGGGGTGTGTGTGTGTGTGTGCGGGTGGGAGCCCTGGACGGCTGGGTGTCGATCGGAATAGAGCAGCAAGGTTATTTTTTTTCCCCCCCTCACATTTGTTTGGGATTTTCCATGGGAGACAGAATGAGAAAGAAGCCAAGAAGGATACCCCAGCACCATGGAGCCACGCATTGCAGACAGCGTGAGTATACAGACATACAAGAGAGATCTTAAGGAACTGGGTTTTCACTGCTGGAATCACACCTCAACTTTTCAGGGACCTATTATTTTCAATGGCAATTTTATTTTTTATTTTTTTATTTTTTTTTACAACCTGCGTAGTTAAAACAACATTTTTTTTTAATTACTGCTGAGTGTGGTTCACGCGTCGAAACTGTGTTTACGCGTATAGCTTTAATCTCGACTAAAATCATTAGACACACATGTGGACCGGACCGTAAGAGGCCGGTGTGTTCGCTTTATAGTGCCGCGCCTGGCAACTCATCAACGGATTAATTCCTGAGGATTTTCTCCTGCCTTTTGTTGCTACGCCGGTTGCTACTGACGACCAGTGAGGCCAGAGCCGTAAACAGACGGACCGACACCGACTAATCACCACAGCAGTCACAAGTTCATTAATGTGTAACCTGGATGTAATGGCTGTTAAGTGTTTTTTCAGCGCAGACGTTTCTTCTGACCTTCTCTTATTCTGAGACAAGGACAGACAGCAGGTAAAAAGGTTTCTGGAGAAGTCGCAGTCTGTGCGAGGTGATTGCCAATTGTAACACTACCTATTGGGTCACATAACACACCCCGGGAATGCAAAATGTAGGCCTCTCTTTATCTCGGTTTCTTTCTCGCTCTCTCTCTGTGTATATATGTGTGGTGAGATGGCCCTTGGATTGAGTTAACTGCGGCCAAGTAGCCAGATTACTGTGGATTAGCAGGCATTTAAAATAGTCACGTTATCCCACCAGTGGCTGCAGAGTCAGCTACAACAACACCTTTTAGGCTGCCTGCCAAATATTTCTGAACAGAAATGATATATGCTGTATGAGTGGATAACTGCACAAGTTGCATTCTGCATGAAGGCGCTGCTTTCATCTGTTGTCAAATGGACTGCCCAAATCATGTTCAGCTAATGTTTCCTGATGCATCCGGCATGAAAGAGCTTCTCCAGTCAAGTAATAGGCCCTGCATCAAATACCAGTAGTGAAGCATGAATGTGCAGGGACATAGACTGGAAACACCTGACTATAAGGATATAGTGCATTGACTGGATGCAGCGAGACATAGGGCTGTACAATCTTCACTATGGGTTATGGAATTTGTTGCCTAAAAAGTTAAAAGTTACATCAATAAGTGAACCCCTGAAGGGATCTGACTTCAAAGTGGACCTCAGTGATCTTGAACTCAGCAATAACCCTTTTAGTGTTTCTGTAAACTGTCATTAACAATGTGTTTTTGTTTTACTTGCTTCTCCAGTTTGAAGGGTGACTGTGACAAGAAATGAAAATCATCTAACCCTACACTCTAAACTTTGACCTGGTGCTGCGGCACATTGGATTGACAATATTTAACATCAGGTACTTGCCAGATGCAAATACAAGAACACACACACAAAAAAAATAGTATTTTAAAATTAATTTCTCATCAAATACTCATCAATTGTACAGTTTGTGAAGCCAACAACAAGCAGCATCATGTTCTACGGTTCCTCCTCCGGGGCCAGTATGTCCCTTCCCTCCAAGAGTCGCCTGAAACGCCAGAGCAGGACCTTCACACAGGTACACACACACACACACACACACACACACACACACACACACACACACACACACACACACATACATTTGAAGACGTACTGTATGTGCATGTTAATTAAAATTAGTAGTTGAAAGTCACCAGCAAAAGTTTGAATAAAATTCACATTTTTTGTCAGTGACTCATTTCCTCAGGGAAGTACGCCTTAGTTGTACTCCTAAGGTTGCTTTCCGACGTGCTACAGCATGGCAGTTTACTGCATTACAACCAGGCACCGGCAATACAGTAATAATGGAAAAATGTACTTCATAAAATGAGATCAAATTTTCAGATAGACTAGTGGTTATGTCGCGCGCACCATGTAAGGAGGCTAAAGTCCTCTTCACAGAGACCATAGGCTTGAATCCAAGCTGCGCCTCAGTTCTTAAGGTTTTTGATTTGGTGAGCAATTTAACAGGATAACTTTGGTTTTAAGTACATTTATCTTGTGCCAAGAATACAATCTGCATTTTTATAGAATATGCACAAGTTACATAAATGAGTCCCTTCAGTAGATCATTACAACATCAGCAAAGAGAATAATTTAGCATTTTTATTTATTCATTTCTATTCTGTTATTGAATTCTCTTGTCTGGCCAATTAGTCTAATGGTTCGATATACAGAGCAGAGAGAGTGAGGCTAAGGCAGCAACCATGTCTAGTTTCTCTCCCTGATTGGAATCTATCTTAAAGACAGCTGTTAACTTTTGCTCTAGCTGTCGATTAATTATAGATATATTTAACGCGGGTAATTGTCACTGTAAAACCTTTTCTGGAAAACATGTTAATGTGCAATTTATAGGCACTCTAGTGGTGTGATTGACTGAGAACATCTATGATGGATTGGCACAACATTTTACGCTGATTTTCAGAATCTCCACAAGATGGTGTACAATGACTCATATGGTCCATTGATGTTTAAGCCCCCGGTACAGTAAACACAACCCTGTTTTATTGAGGTTTTTAACAGTGAACCAATAGCAAGTCACATTGTGTGTTGGGCTGTTGTATATATTTTTTCTGTATCCCTTCTTTTATTCCTGTTTAAATAGGGTTTATTAGCAACCAAAAAAGGTCTATTCGCCCCAAGATGTTGGCAGAACCAAACAAAATCACTCGATCAAAAATCAAAAATACAATACGATACTATTCACTTTATTGTCCCCTCTACAAGTCCAAGGTCATTCGTGTTGGACTCAAGTAATGCACACATATAGCTGTCTCCATAGTAGTGATCTGGTCAATAAAAAGAACCTGTGAGGAACAGTAACCACAAGAGGCAAGAATGTTTTTTTTAAGATCATGGTGAAATGCCCCTTTAATGTAAAAATAGAGGTGTATATGAAACATAACGTCAGTATTTTTGTCACTCTACAGTGAATTCAGTATTGTTTTTCTTTTCACCAGGTCCTGTATCGCACCCTGAGTTACAGAGACCGAGTCCCAGTAGAAACGGGAACAAACACTCGTGGGGATCGACGTTCAACGACTGAACCCTCAGAGCGACCGGCGGATGATCCCGCTGAACTCTCAACGCAGAGCTCGGCCCCTGGGGTGCTGAAGATTTTTGGAGATGAAATTTGTGCCGGTGCCAACTACAAGAGCGTCCTAGCCACGCCGCGCTCCAGTGCGCAGGAACTGGTCAAAGAGGCTCTGGACCGTTACTCGCTCAATAAGAATGCTGCCCACTCTTACGTCCTATGTGATGTGATTGGACACTTGGAAGGTGGAGGTGGGATAGGAGGAGGGGAGTGGCGAACTGAGTGCCTGCGTGCGCTTGGGGACAATGAAAAGCCGCTGTTGCTCCAAGAGCTGTGGAAACCCAGGGAAGGACACGCTCGCAGATTTGAGCTGCGTAGGAGAGGAGAGGTGGAGGAAATCAACGCCAAGGAGAAGGACACCATCACTGCTGGTAAGGAGGCCCACAAAGACACACATACAAGTATAGATAGACAGCCAGACACACACATGCACACACAGCAGCTTGTCTAGTACCCTTCCTTTCCTCACATATCAAACTCAGCAGAAAATCACAGCTCGTTACCTCTTCTGCAGAGTGTGAGTGTGTGTGTGAGTGAGTGTGTGTGTGTGTGTGTGTGTGTGTGTGTGTGTGTGTGTGTGTGTGTGTGTGTGTGTGTGTGTGTGTGCGCTTGCCCATGCGTATGTGTGTGTGTATGCAAAATGAGAGCTTCCATCAGTTATTATCATGGAAAGAAGTCATTCTTATTGGATGATTACACGTGTCTTTAAATCAGTAATATATAGGAATTGGTTTTGGTGCGCTGTAGGTCCCAACCGCACTGTGATAAGACACACATATTGCTGTTACGCCTACATCTCAACATGCATTTGTTTACAAGCAGAGGGTGCAAAGCCAGCAAGTAAGTTGTGAGAAGCCAAAGAACCACGTTGGCGGGCAAAATACAGTACTGTTACTGGATTTTGCGCACAAACTTTGCAAACTGTGTGCATATGGAGTATGTGTATGTGTGAGGTCTAGAATGGTAATCTGGCTTTATGGTCATTTTCCATGTGGGCCAACAGAGCAGGGGCTATAGCAGGGGCTAACAAACTGTCATAGTAATCACAGTTTGCTGGCCCAAACACGCCTCCAAACATGTAGTTTTGAATTTTTGGAGTAAACCCTTACTTTTTACCTACCGGTACTTCTATTTTGAGTAAAGATATTGTGTCCTCCATAAATACATCTGACCACAAAGGAGTCAGTCAAAACAGAGAAAACACACTCTGATATGTTTCTATGGCATTTACTCCTCAGTTTGGTCATGGTTTGGGGAAAAAAAAGTGGTCGACCTATTAAAGGGGACAATTGGATGGTGTAAGGTTATGTCATGTTTGACTAGTTTTAAAGGGCCAGTTTTGGCCAATATTTCTTCCCAGTCTAGCACTGGTAGGTGTATTCAACTATTACTTTGATATCTATGGGCTGTGGCTAAATGGCTACATTTGATACCGTACATTTTTAATGATAGTTGAGATAGGTTTGTAAGGGTTTCGCTAACTTGAGGATTTACAAGGAAAGATCCAACTTTGGCACTTAAAGAAACACAAACATAAATGCACACATACACAGTGCAATGGAAATGCATGGACAGCTAGTTGATTGATTAATTGAAAGTTGAATACTTTGTGACTGGATGTGTGGATGACAGTACCATTTTTATGAGTGACAGAAATTTTCTGCAGTGAAGCATTATGCCATATTTTTTCCTGCTGTGTAACCTGCACCTGCATAGATGCAAAAATGAATCTTTAATTAAGACATGAACGGTCAAAAATCTAGGTGCTACAGTGCAAAAAGGTGAATAGAACACCAGCAAACATGTCAGTCCTTTTAACGTTTAAACATACTTCTTTAATGAATCTTTGGCTATTTAAATGTTTTTGGTTTCATAATGTACCGGTAATCATGAAATGGTCTTTTGGTAGATTGTTTTACTAACTTGGTCATCAGATCCCCTTAGTCCCCTCGTTATGCCTTTGGGAAATTCACAGTGAAGGCGAAACGTCACAGGGGCGTAAATGTCGTGCTTTGAACAGGCAGTCTGAATAGGGCTAGTCTCACTGTCACTCTGACATTTCTCATGAAAGCATACCAGGGTTAGCTGGTTGCTATATCAACCTCTGTGGTAGCCAAAGAGTTTGTCAACATGTTTTTCTTATTGTTGCACATTGCAGTAGTTGTACACATTTCAAGCAATGAGACAATATTAATAATCCTATAAAAACAACAACAAGGAACCCTTTTGTGTTTATATCGTGAAAAGTCCATGCTGCATTAGACTATTATTGTTTTTTTCTGACTTACCTACAACATTTGCTAACATTCGCAGAGTTGCATGTTGTAAATTTATTTGTATTGTATTTAACGTGCACTCTTTCTAATGACCAACAGTCTGCAATAATACTGGTTGCAGTAAAGACATATGAATATATATTTTAAGGAGGTCTGAGTAAATGATCCTACTTTTGATTTGATTGTTTACCTCTTTAAACACTTTCCAAGTGAGTTCAACAATGTTCTGAATGGCTTGTTACGCATCATTTTTAATACATCATGATGTCATGAGACTCATTTAGAGTAGATGGCTAAAGGGCATGGCAACCCTTTGATAGATAAGCAACCTCCACGACAACCAGCTAATCAGAATAGAGCTGTATTAATGTTTTTCCATAATGGCTCAAAACACCCAAGATGGCTACAAATTTAGGATTCAAAAGAGTAGGCCATAAATCAAAGAATGATATCATGTTGGCTATTTCCTCTTTGTTTGTATACTATAATGATTAATACACATTTTATCCATATGTATTGAATTTGGGTTACATGGTAAACCACTGTGCTCATTGTAAACACAGTCAGTCAGTTGGTAGATCCAACACTCACTTATAGGATCTATATAAAATTGGCATTGACCTTCTCTTTGGATTTGTTTACAATGAGAAACGATCATCACCAGCCTTCTCATTTATTGTGCTAAGAGACATTCCAGTTCTACTTCTTCCTCTGCAGCCAGCTTCTACCTCTTTTCCAAAATTATTTCAATAAAAAAATTGCCACAGCAAAGAGTTCCCTCTGGGATTAAAACGGTACATTAACCAAGGCATATTAATAAACATATTTCTACTCTCAAACTAACCTTTTCTCCCTTTTGTGTTGGGGTGTTTAAAAAACTCACACACACTGGGGTCTCTTCTTGTTATTCACTGTCATTTACTTGTTCTCTTTTCTTCCTCCCCTGGTGTACCTATGAGCATGCACAAACATGTGTGAGATCTGAGTTTTTAATACACACACCTTTAACAATGAGATAGCATTTCAAAGGTATGTTAGGATTTTTATCCATGGCATGAATAAATCTGCATTTTCTATTTGCTGGCTTCAGTCTAAGCTGCCAAACAAGTTGTGATGAATAAATGTGATTGTAGCCTGACTTTTATTTCATTTGCATTCTAATTTACAGCGGATTATTAAAAACCTCATACCTTTAACTGTTTATCTCTTCTTACTAACTGCTGACTACTACTACTAGCTACTAACTCACTAGAAGCACCACACACTTTTTTTTTTTAACTCCACAGTGCATGTGTGCCTTATGTTATGTGGTTGAAAAAAAGTGTGTATGGTAGGATTTTCTGTACTGTTTTGGTGAGGGGTCATTTTCTCAGCCCCTTCCTCCCCTTGGTAACCCCCATCCCCCCCCCACCCCCACCCCCACCCTGCTGTAGGGCCCAAAACCTCCCAATTCCTGGCGGTTCTAATGGGTCGCTCTGGGCTGGGCAAACACAGGAGCTCCCCCCTGCGCTGTGGTCGAGTGGTACAGTCCAGCTCTAAAGGTGGGGACTGGCCTCAGGTAGGGTGGCTGTCACTTCATTGCCATGGTGACCACTTCTACCTGCGTCGTTACGAGTGCCACCCCCCATTTGCAAGCGATTCAAACAGTCTGAGTGTGTGTTTGCAAAATCTGTGAGCCATCGCATGAGGAGCTGCTCAGTCATTGAGTTCACTGTAGCCTGCTCCATCCAGCTTCCACTCAACTCACACATGACTGTTATGCACTTTGTGTCACTATAGCCTGAGAAGTTTGTTCAATCACAAGTTAAACATACATACCAACATTGCACATGTACCATTAGTAAACTGTCTTTTTATATTTCACTCATTGCCTGTCTTTTCTCCTGTCCTCAAAATCTCTTGTCCTCCTCTGCCCTTTACTTTTTTATTATAATCCTCCTGTACTCTATCCTGCCCTCCTCTCTCCCTCTTTGTTCCCGCTCTTACTTCTCCTCCTCCTCCCTTTAGATATCAATGCTCAGGCTCGTAAGCTGCAGAGGAACAGGGCGAAGGGGACGCTGACCCTGCCCCGCTCAAGCAACTCATCTTTCTGCCGCAGCCTCAGCGAAACCAGCCTCAACCAGGTTGGACTCACACTGAAACCTTTTCAGGATAATGGATTGATGTTATTCATGGTCTCGTTATCCTACTGCGGTAAATCATGATTGCTTATGTGTGTGTGTGTGTGTGTGCGTGCGTGGTTCTGTAGCTGGGAGTGGGAGACGAACCCAAGCGGTATTATTCCACCCTGCCAGGACCCTTAAGGGCTCGGGAACGTGAGTTGGCTTCCAGCAGCCGGAGGAAAGAGGAGGGAAGCCAGGGAGGGGTGAGGCACTCACTCTACCAGTCTCCCCACCTCCTGCTGTTACAGGGTTACAATCGGCAGGTAATGTTCGAGAAGAGGTGACCCTGTGATAATATGTTCTTCATATAGTCCCAGTTCCAAATCTGAAGGGTCTTTACTTAGAGATGGGAATCATTCATTTTTATTGATATTGATACTATTTGTGGGACTCCTAAACACTCCAAGTCCTTCAATACTTTTGTAGTTTTGTTGTCTATTTTCATTTCATCTGATTATTTATTGTTCTGTGTGTCTCAGGACTGTTTGGTGTACCTGCTGAACAGGGAGCAGCACACAGTTGGTCAGGAGACTCCGTCAGCTCGCCCCAACATCTGCCTCTTCTCCCCTGACATCCTGCCCCTCCACTGCCGCCTGCGCCGAGTCCCTGCATCCCGTCGTCACGCCAACAACAACAACAAAGGAGAAGAGGAGAGCCAACGGTACTGTGTTGCTGTTGAGCCAGTTCTCCACGCCACGGTTCTGGTGAACTTTTCCCGCTGCGAGCGATCCACCACGCTGCGACACGGTGACCTCCTGTCCTTTGGAGCGCATTACATCTTCCTGTACAAGGACCCAACGGGTGCTAAGCCTCTGCCTGCTCAGACCTTGGCACGCCTCCGCTCCCTGGGACAGCTCTATGACGTAGGGGTGGAGGAGGGAGAGGGTGGGGCTCAGACTTGTAAGATGTGTGGTTCTGTGCTAAAGGACAAAGCAGCGCTGGTGTCGAGTGTTCCAGCAGTAAGACGCAGTTTCAAACCTCACCTGGTGAAACCTCGCAGCGGGGGGTCAACAGCGGCAGGAGCCCTTAGTTTGTCAGGAGGGGAAGGAGGAGGAGGAGGTGGAGGGAGAGGAGGAGGAGGAGGAGGAGGAGGAGGAGGAGGTCAGAAAAGAAGGCAACAGCTGGAGTTTGACCAAACTCATGAGGACCAGCTGTTGAACAGGATTGTGTCTCTCATAGAACCTGGAGGTATAGTCTCCGATTTACATTATTACAGAGGATATCATTTGATTTAATAGTGTTTAAGCCAGCGTTTATATTCCAGTGGATCTAGTGTCATGCAAGTCATTCCACATACAAGATATCCAAGATAACACAACAATCTCACCCTTCAGTGGCATTTCAATTCAAATAGTTAAGCATGTATTATTCCTATTTTTTTTAGAAATAGCCCTCATGTCTTGAATTTCTGGCATCAACTAAATTTAGGTGAGGTGAATTGAATTCTAAACATTTCTAATGTAGTAGAAAATCTTGGATACAGAGCACAAACAGGAAGGTTAGAATGTGATTGTCAATAAACACAGACATTACTTTTCACCAGGGTTTGGGATTGTTCAGTTGGCTCTTCGCATTGACTGTATTGAAAGAAAATAATGCAAACATTGTATAAAAGCAGTTTACACCGTTTCTCTTAAGAGACAGAGGTCAAAGGGTACACAGTTAGAAATGTGAGAAAAGCCAGAATCAGTGTTCCTGTTCCACTAGTTTGTCCTTAAACCTCTCGGCTAGCTGTTTTATGTGAATGTTCCACAGCCTAAGAGCAGATCATGTGATTAATCTTAAGTATTTTTTTTAATGACTAAGACAATTGCGTAAACAGATAACATCACTAGAGGTAGAGATTATTATGACATGTTTTTGGACAACGTGAATTAACTCTTTATACTCCCTTTCAGGAGATGACCATAAGCTAACGCCTGCCTACCTGCTGTGTCTGTGCATTCAACACTCTGCCTCAGCCTTCCCACCTGGCAATTTTGGAAAGCTGCTTCTCAAGATTGTCAGAAGAATTCAGACCATCGCATGGGTCAGTTTTTGCCTGGCTCACTGTCTCCCTCTGTCTGTTTGTCTGTCTGTTTGTCTGTCTGTCTGTTTGTCTGTCTGTTTGTCTGTCTGTTTGTCTGTCTGTCTGTTTGTCTGTCTGTTTGTCTGCCCGGAGGTACTTTGGTCTCTGCTGAAGTTGACCTCCTGTGGAGAGAAACTGTTCAGCCTTGTCCGGTCAGGTGAATAGTTAAACAGGGTTTCATCTCACGTGTGTCGTACTGTATTACACATAAGCACACACAGATTTTTGTCCTGTCTGAATTATGAATCATTTCTCTCTGTCATGACCTCTACCGCAAAAGATTAGGGATTGAGATTATATTATAGTCTTATGTACATCTGTAACAATTACTCACATACTTACTTTGGGGCGGCAGTAGCTCAGTCTGTAGGGACTTGGGTTGGGAACCGGAGGGTTGCCAGTTCAAATCCCGGTGTGGACTGAGCATGGAAGTTGGTCTGGTAGCTGGAGAGGTGCCAGATCACCTCCTGAGCACTGCCGAGGTGCCCTTGAGCAAGGCACCACACGTGCAACATGTGTTGCATGACTACAGAGTGTAAAAACTGAAATTTCAATCAATAAAAGTAAATCTTATAATCTTATGACAGAATGCAGCATTTGCTAAATCAATAAATGATTTAAGTTTTTAAATTAAGGAAAGAATAATACATACTCCTGATTGTCAAATGTTAGGATTAGTAAGATAATAAATCAAATGTCTTGGACAAAGCAAGACCTTGGAAGGTGCCACTTTATTGTTTGAAATAAATAAATTAAAACATGGATAAATAAATAAATAAATCTACACTCAAGTAGGTATGTAGGTGAGAAGGCAGGCCGGAAAGCAAACCCTTCAGTCAGAATGTATTGATTGGACTTATTACAACAAGCCTACGTCAGCACGGATCAGATACCTGATTTTTGTCTTTTTTGTCATTTATTGATTGCTGTCTGAAAGTAGGGAGACTTCCAACAAAAAAGTAAATTCTCTCTCATAAAACCAAAATATATTTATTAGAAATGTGCTCTTTGTAATAGCTTCTCTTTACGTTTTAAGTTTTATTTTGCCTAATGTGTATGCAGTTGAATGTTATAAGAGTTGGTATGTAGAGTAAGCTTATAATCAGTCCAGTGGGGCACAGAGTAATTATAAATATGTGTCAGTGTGAGCGGGTCAGGTGATGTTGATATAATAGTAGTGTTTCTTTCTGCAGGTTAGTGATAGTGGTGTGAAGTGACGTTTCCCTACGCACATCCTTAAAGATTAATGAGTTGTTAATTGCTGTGTGTGTGTGTGTGTGTGTGTGTGTGTGTGTGTGTGTGTGTGTGTGCAGGAGAAAACAAAGGAGCTGGCTCAGAAGCAAGCTCAGCAGTAAGTATTACCTTTCAACAGAAAGAGAGCAACTGTGCTCTTATGACGTTTTTATGAGTCAGTGTGTTCACTGTGTCTAATTACTGTTACACTTCTCTCATTGTGTGTGTGCGTGTGTGTGTGTGTATATGTGTGTGTGTGTGTGTGTGTGTGTGTGTGTGTGTGTGTGTGTGTGTGTGTGTGTGTGCATGTGCGCATGTAGCCAGGACCCGGCTACCTTGTCTCTGCTGAGTATCTCAGACTTGATCCCAGACCTGCAGACCATCTTCTTCTGGATGTCTAACTCCATTGAGATACTCTACTTCATACAGCAAAGAGCACCAGCGTACACACACAGCATAGAAACTCTGCAAGGTATACACACATACACACACACACACACACACACACACACACAGTGAGTGTGGGAACAAATCAGCTGAAGCGTCATTACTCACACTGACGAACAGTAGACCCTGGAACGGCATTGCTCCCTCCCTCTCTGTCTATATCTCTTAAGCATGCCTCTATCTCTGTCTAGGGTCAAAAGAGTCATTGCTATCAGCAACCATATCAGCCAACGAGGAGGCAATGACCATCTTGGAGGAAGTAATCATGTACACTTTCCAGCAATGTGTCTACTATATCACCAAGGTAATTTGTCACCACAGCAAACAGTGCCATCCTCTAAATGAGAGACTTTTTTCAATCGTGTTTTTAATAAAGGGTTCAATGAACGATAACAGACCCTCACTTACACCGTTTTTACACACATGCACAAAAGTACACACCAGTAAATGACAAGGTGAGATAAGACTATGAAGACATTGAAAAGTTACTAAACGTTATTTTTGAAATTAGAGATCCCTTCCATCATCAGGGTTGTGTGTGTGTGTGTGTGTGTGTGTGTGTGTGTGTGTGTGTGTGTGTGTGTGTGTGTGTGTGTGTGTGTGTGTGTGTGTGTGTGTGTGTGTGTGTGTGTGTGTGTGTGTGTGTGTGTGTGTGTGTCTTCAGGCTCTGTATGTAGTGTTACCAGGTTTGTTGGACTGTAATCCATTCCCAGCTGACAGCTCTGAGCCGTGTTGGAAAGGAGGTGTTGGGTTTCCTGAACCTGTCCGTAGGGTGCTGCAGGTAATCACACGTGTTGTATTGTTGGTAAAAAAAAGGTTAGTCATGGTCATAAGAAATAATTGATCATTAATTGTTCATCATTCTTTTAATAAATATGCTTTTTTCAGTGTTTCACATTTAGTTTTGTTCACCTTATTTTTACAACATCTGTTTTATAGATAGATAGATATAGAAGATATATTATTTAGGTATGCTTTAGAAATCCATACACCTTTTGAATGTTCATTTGTGTATTTTTATTGTTTATGCAAAAAGAAAATTACTAAATTACAAAAAAATAAAATTCTGGCATGTCCTTTGGCAACATTTATTCAATTTTCAATTCAATTTTATAGCATATTTCATACAAACGTAAACTCAATGTGCTTTACAGAAAACATTACGATGATTATCTGCCAAAAACACATTGAAATGGCTTGCAAACAAAGGCACGCTTATAATTCTTATTTAAACTTCTATGTTGAATTACAAAAGCTCCAGTCACATTACTGATAAGTGTGGCTGACCAATACAAATTATTGCTGTTTAACAAATGGTAATTTATCAATTCCTGTCCTGTAATGTAAAACATTACAATGTAGTTTACATTCATGTCCACTAGTTCTTCTTCTTCACAGCCTTTGCTGGCACATCAAATTAATCTGTAGATCAGTGGAATCGTGTAATAATAGTGGCAGGAATGTGTATTTCGACCAGTGCAGCAGACAACCAAATAAGGATCCCTTCTCAAAAACAAATGCTCTCGGTGCGCTGGGTTAGTTCAGTTGGTAGAGGAGGGGCCCCATGAACAGAGGCTTTAGACCATGTCGCACTGGTTGCAAGTTCGACTCCTGATCCTGACACTGTTTGGTATATGTCGTCCCCCACTATATCCACACATTTCCTGATTATTGTATGTGGTCATGTCCAAAAAAGGGTAAAAGCCTGCGAAATAATCTTAAACAAAGAAAAGAAAACAAAGCTCTGTGACTCGTGTAGGGGTCAAAAACTCTGTGGATGGAAGGTCAAAGATCAAAATAAAGTAGGAATAATAAATAACATATTAATGTTGTAAGAGTAGTGATCATCTATAGTAATACTTTATTGATACATTCTAAAGACATATTGAAGAAGCTTTTAATGACATCAGAATTTCTATGCTCATGTGCTTGTGTGTGTTTTGTGTGTCCAGGTGTTTCAGAATGCACAAGAGCTTCTGCAGGGCTACCAGGTCCACCCAGAGATCCAGGCCCAAATGTTTGCTTACCTCTTCTTCTTCTCCAATGTGTCGCTTTTTAACCAGCTGATGGACAAAGGTAGGACAACAAGCAGGCACACTCACACTTTCTCTTCCCATTTGACCTCCCTCAAGGCTTGTACAGTTTGTGTGTGTGTGTGTGTGTGTGTGTGTGTGTGTGTGTGTGTGTGCGTGCGTGTGTGTGTGTGTGTGTGTGTGTGTGTGTGTGTGTGTGTAGGGGGGGGGTGCATATGCATGCGTGTGTGTTTGAGTGCTTGTGTGAGAGAGCGAGAGAGAGAGAGAATGTCCTTGTGTCCTTGTCAGCATTTTGACAGTGACTAACCCAGATTTGTCCTCAATGCCCTTTCTCTATCTGCATTCTCTGTCTCCCCTCCTCCTCCTCCTCCTCCTCGACTTCCTTCCTTCCATCTGGTCATCAGTGGGTGAGAAGAAAAAAAAGTGGCGGTGGGATTGGATGGAGGCAAGAGGAGATAGAGAAAAGAGGGGGGAAGAGCAGAGTGAAGGGGAAAAGGCTGCAAGGTCAACCAGTTGTTGTGATGACCTTTTGAATAGTTTATTACTTTGTCTTAATACAGAAATCATTTGCTGCTGGCTATATACTTGTGTCAGACTACCTTTCAACCTCCACCCTCTCTACACTCTCATTTTTTATCTTTAGCCACACATACACACACTGGCACACACACCATATGTCTTCATTAGCCAGTGGAGACAGGACAGCGCACATGTCTGCTGAAAGAAGAAGGAGAAACGCCTTTATTTCCATGCAGAGGCTTCCCTGTCCTCCACCTCCTCTCCACTTACAGAAATCTATCTATCTGGCTTCTTCCTTCTCTCCCTGGCTCCCCCCTTTTGTTGCTCAATTATATTTCTCTGCCGATGGTGTCCATGGTAACAGTGACACCATCAGCGTGTTTAGAGCAGGTAACGCTGACGTTTGCACTGGGTGCTCTGCAATCTACAATCACAAACACAGCACACAGACACACACACACGTAACCAAATATTACAACATATTGGACTGATCTGATATTCAATAATACGCTGCACAACCTCTACTCTGTCATGGATTTGTATGATTGTAAAGCTTGTGTGTTTATATGATTGTGTTATGATGTCTTGCTTTGAGATAGAGTATATTGGATCCCTTTTTTTTTTGTTTTGACTGTTTCTTCGAGAGTGTACCATGGCTTTCTTATGTGTGTGTTTGTAAACCAGCTGCTGTAAAGCATTATGACACCTCTCCTAAGAGGTTAAGTGATGTCTCGTCTGTTTGTGAAGCCTCACACATAGATTACTGTATGCCTAGACATAAGCCTATTACAGAGAGGAGTGTGTTTATGTGTGTGTGTTCATCCAAAACATATGGCAGAATATTTGTGCTTGTGTGTGTGTGTGTGTGTGTGTGTGTGTGTGTGTGTGTGTGTGTGTGTGTGTGTGTGTGTGAGTGTGTGAGCATATAATGTTATAGGTGTAGATGAGACATTTTGTGGTTTAGTTTTTGGTTTCACTGAGTCTATTATCTGATGTGATTCATGTGTATTTAGAAGCAGCCGGCTGCTGTGGTTGATGTTACTCTACATAGTGCTGACAATGATTCTTTGATTGTAACATTAAATGTGTTGTCAGCTTTTGACATTGTAGCTTCATTTACACATGAACAATCTTGTTCTTTTTAAACTGTGGTAACTATCCCGTTATTCTTTGACTTTCATAAAGAAGTTTCTAGTTTAAGACCAATTTTTCCGACAGAGTTATTGCATTGAAGCTTAAATTTAAAAAAACTTACATTTGAAAATGTTCATCACTTGTTCACACTTAGTACAAGGATGTTGATCACTACAATAAGAAATTACAAAAGTATTTTTTGAAGTTGTAAAATGTAACAATCAAATCCTGCTAGTTGGATATGTGAAACATTAGGGGTCTGTGTTTTCAGCTAAATTGATAAATACCCCCTTGATCTATCTTCTTAGTTAACCTTTTTTTCTTTGGATTGTTACTGTTGTTTGTGCAAAGCAAATCATTTGAAGATGACACAGTAAGCTAGATGAATAAATGATGTATTTTTAAATGTTTCCTATCATTTTAAGGGCAAAAGGTCAATCCATTTAGCAGGACATTAACTGAGAAATGAATAAAAACATTTGTTAGTTGCAGTCCTACCTAAGTTACTGTACAGCGTCTTGCATAAGCCTGATTGTGTAAGTGAGATTTTGATATTGGGCTCATTTTACAATGTGTATATTTATTGTATTTGTGGTTTGTACTTGTTGCTCCATCCCTTCTATGTGTATGATATTTTTATTTTTATTATTAATCTTTTTTTTTAAAGAGTGTTGCTTCTGGGTCTGAAAAGAAACGGAGGGGTCTATAGCTTTGAAAAATCTCATATGATGACCAGCTCTAGTCCAGTTGTTTGTCATTGTTTGCACCAAACCCCAGCAGAGGCCTGATCTCACCTTGGGGGGTATTTTAGCAAGCTTAATAGGAATTATAGCTGCAGTGGGGTAATGGCATGACAGATTGACAAACTATGGGATGCCAACTTGACGGATGCTTGATTTAAAGTTATGTTTATGTTGTGTTTACTTGCCAGGAAACTTCCTTCAGTTATTTGATGTGAAACAGAGAAAGAAAGGAGACACACAGAGGGAGGACGTCAGGCTGGTTTTGTTGTGCAGTAAACACAAATCTAGTCAGCTTAGCCCCTCTGCAGCAGCCGATTTGTATTCTGCAAGGAGCAGGGGTCTGGTGGCTGTGCTCATATTTAATTGTCAGCAGTATCAACTTCTTTAAAAATTAATGCTGTAACACGTGCACAGAAACACACACAGTCTGCCTCTCCTTCATGTTGCCTTTCTCTCAGGATTGCTGACACGCCAAAGAGAAGAAATCCACTGCAGCGTCTCTAATGAAATATCCAACCAGTTACAGTACTTCAGTTTGTGCATGTGTCTGTGTATGTGTAGGTCCAACTCGGGGTTGGTTCCAGCGCTCCAAGGTGTTGCAGATTCAGGCGTGTTTGCGGATGGTCATGGAGTGGGCGAGCAGGTCGGGTCTGGGACATCTGGCGGATAAATTCTTTACCAAACTCAACAGCACTGTTTCCATACTGACCACGCCCCCTCAACAGCTCACACAGGTAGCACTCACACAAACATATACAGAACCCATCACTATTTTATACAGGATTATACCAAAAAAGACAATAAAATTAAGATTAGTTACAAGTTTTCTACCAACTCACACAATGCTGGGTGTCAGTGGAGTGTTAAATTGATCATCTGGTTCTCAATGTTTTTCATTACTTGTCAACTAATTCAATAATAACCTTTTTTCAACCGAATCATTTTTGAGTAAAAAGCTAAAATTCTCCTGATCTCAGATTTTTGAATATCAATATTTATCTGGTTTGTTTGAGGATTTGAAAGCTATAATGAGCTGCAATCAGATCTCTTGACTGTTTTTCATACATTTCACAGAACTGTTGTTAGAGGTGCACCACTCTGATCTGTTATCGATCAGACATCCTCTAACCTTACTCAATTCGATTCTGTATGTAAAAAAAAGGCTTTTGATAAATCACTCCTCTTCTACGTTTCTTCTTTATTTCTTCTGTGCAGTCAAGTTGGCGAGCTTTGTCCAGCGAGCATCCGGCTCTGAAACCAGTCCAGCTGCACAGGATTCTCACCCAGTACCAGCTCACAGCAGAGTTAGGCCCTGTCCCAACATGGCAACCCAGCAGTGAGGACGAGGCGTATATATACAGAACAGGTAAGTGTTGGAATCTATGAGTGTGGTTGAGATTGTGTTTATTTCAGAGCTAGAACTATTAGAACTGTTTAAATACAAAGCCCTCATGTTGTAAGTATGAAAGTTAAGCCTGCAAGCACAGTATTTACTAGCATGTGTTAAGCCTTACTCCAAGTGGAACGGGTGTTTTCCTCATAATTACTTCTCTGTTTCTTCACTTTTTCTTTGTTTGCGTGATGTTTTAGTTACAACCTCACAAGGGACAGCAGATACAAATTAGCTTGTTAAATATTGTCCATGGTCCCTTTACAGATAAAAATAAATACAAATAGAACACTATTCTGATGCATTAGCTTCACTGTGCAGAACATAGCTATTTCCAGGGTAGCTATAACCCTAACACCTATCCCAGGCCAATTGGGATTCAGTATCAACCTACAAAAGTTTGACATGGAAACTTGAAACCTCCAGTTCACATAACTGAGAATGGAAATTATGGTAAAGTGGAGGAGGTCTTTTTGTGCATTTCTTACTTTTTTGTGTCCTTGTTGAAACACAAATTACTCTTCAAAGCAGATCTTCTTAGGTCTTAAAATGTGTGGTCGGGTTTTTTAAGCTTGTATTCATCAGTCAATAAATGGGCTGTATGGCTTCTTTATGAAGGATGTTAGTGAAGGTGTTTGTAGCGCCATAGGAAATGAGCTATGTACTGAAGTTACTTCAAAGGCTTCTGTAGCTTTGAGCCATGAGGACTCAAAACTATGTAAAAATAGAGCCCAGGTTTAGGAATAAGGGGATCTCTTCGGACAAATGATGCTCTTTCACATTGTTATGCACTGCAGAAGCACATTACAGAGGCTTCAAATTGGATATCTGGATGAACAGTGTTAGGGAACAGCACAGAAATAATCATCAGTATTTTAGCTCAGAATCGACGTCTGCTGTCAATTAAACCTTTTTTTTATTTCTTTATATTTAAAAGCTCGCAATGTACAGTTCTGATGAGTAAGGTTTACATGTTTCTCTAGTTTTCTTAAACAAGAATATAATGTTAATATGTGTGCTGATAGAAAAACCTGATTATAACCAGGATATCACACACCAACTGTCCAAACAGGAATCTTTCATTATTCATACTTTTAAGTTCAAAACCTGCTTGTTTGGCTTTGAATGACTTTTATGTATCGAATTTTGTGTCGTTTTTGACGATTTTTGGATGTGAACAACAGAAAGAGCCAATGGGAGAACTTCACAGCAATCAGAGATCATTTTTTTTATGTATATGGGTACAGATGAGTTGACATCAGTTTGTGTGTTTAGTGGACCTCCTGGAGAGCTTTGAGAACCACCCTCCTATAGTGCTGCCCAGCGCTGGCTTCAGAGTTGACCTGGACAGCGATTGTATAGAAGACAGCATCTACAGACAGCTTCTCTACATCCGACACTACCTGTGGGGGCTCCGCACCAAGCCCCAAACACACACCCCCAGCGTGCACACACAATCCAACGGGACTAACACAGCTGACTGGCCCGACGTTCAGGTCAGGAAAAAACTCACACACACACTGCATACTGTCATATACACACACCTCGCAGTAATCCCAGCCATGTGCCACAGCAGCTGTGGTTGTTGAGGAGTTCCTCAAAATCCCATAAATGAAAGACAAAAAAACCCTCTACTCTAGCCAAGCCGCACACACATACACAGACTCACTCACAGAAATCCTAGACATGGTTAAATCATGGTTAATCTGATTAGTCTTTAGGCTGTCTAATTAGTAGGAACGGCTGACTAGACCATAATCCTCAGTGTTACTGCACTCTCATATATAGCCATACATCACATGCTTCACAGAAGTACAGATACATTCACAAACCTGTGAAATGTTCATTTTGTATCTGAAATAACTTTTATCATCTTAGCTTTCGAATATCTATGAACAAACCTCTGTGTTTCAAAACAGCTTTTTGATTTATTAAACACAGTATACATATATGTTCTCCCTCTATTTCTAACCATTGAACCCTGCATTCAGACCTTACACTGTCTTCTAAAATCTTTTTGTTTAACCCAACACAGAGGGAGTTGTTGCCTCCTGCCCACAGCAGTCCCCGCTATGGGGCTCCTGGGGACGAGGTGACGCCAGAGACGGGAGAAGAGAGAGGACGGGACAGACCCTCAGGCCAGTCACACACACACAGCCTCAGAAGAAATGGCACTGTCAACCACCCTCGGACAGCAAATCCAGACCCGTCCTGCCTCCTGACCCCACCAAACACCCCACTGTACCCAGAAGGAGGAGGAGGGGGAGGAGGAGGAGGGCCTGGACAGATCATAGGCCCCACCACACAAATAAACGGCTGTGCCAGAGGAACTTTGGCAGAATGTAAAAAGAGCAACGGACTCATCACCAATGGACTGGAGGGTAAGCTGAACAACATAAAGGAAGTGGACAAAATAACAGGAACACAGGAGCATAAGAATGGAATCCAGCTCAGAAACACAATTAAAACTTAAAAATGTAAAACTTAAAAATGTTGTATGAAGTACTATGAACTAGTTACTAAGACAGTTTGCTGGTGTTTTTGTTATTTTGTTCACACCAAATGTGCAATTTGAAAAAATTAGAATCCCCCCCCCTCTAAAAAACACTGTTTCTGGCAAGCAGTACAAAGCCTTTATTCAGTTTGCTATGCATGACAATGCATGTTTAGAACAGCTCAACTATAGCCGCCCTAATAGTCTTCTTCAGGGTTGAGAGGGGGTAACGTCACAGAAGAGTGCTCTGATGATTTTCTCTTTTTCATCAGACTTTGTTTGAACTCCTCAGCACACAAGATGCTTTGTTTATTATCAGTTCAAATACTTAAGTTTAAATGTCTGTATCTCACTGCAAGGAACTCTTTCAGAGGAAATGGAAGGTTACATGAGGTCAGAGGGTTGCTCTGGAAAATTTTTGCCTCCGGACTTCAAAGTCCTAATTAGAGCCAATTCAAGGAATAATATTGACTTTAAATTCAGAAAATGAATTCAGAAAACAGAGAATTATAAAATGCTGCGCTTTGTCTGCTGGGTGTGTAGGAATAACATTGTTTGGTAAACTGTTACCCATAAAAACTTAAGAATAATGATAATACATCATCAGGTGTTTGTGTTTGTCTTTTTGGAATTCTTCTGTCCCAAAATGATGGCCGAAAGATTGATGATGCAGCCTCAATTTGAACTATTTGCAGTTGTGTAATTGAAATACTTGTGTTAGTGTGTCAGTCCTGTCTCTTTCATGACAGAAGCATCCCTCCTGTTCAGTCCTCACACTTTGTAGTGAGTGTGACATCTGCAGGCTCCTGTTAGAATCACATGTTTGTGTGTCAGGTTAGCTCAGGAGCTGCACCTATGCATGCGTCTCAGTCTCTGTGTGTGTGTGTGCGTGTGTGTGTCTTCTGCACAGCAACACTTCTCATGTGTGTCCAACCCCATAGCAAGACCCTTTGTGTGTGTCTTTGTCTGTGTGTGTGTGTGTGTGTGTGTGTTTTTCTGTGTTTGGGTGTCCATGTCCCCTGCAGGGTGTATTAGTGGGTCTGAGTTTCCTTTCCCTGTATCCTCCCCTGGAGTCTCTCCCCTCCCTGATGACTTGTGTGTGGTGTTTGTAGTGGAACTGGACAAAGGACCCTACGGACTGGGCATGGGACTAATAGACGGCCTGGTGAGTGGACAAGTTAGACATTTTATCTTCACGATTAGTGATTTTGTTATTGTGTGTCATTGGTTCATGACTTACAAAAGTTCAATATGTTAACATATTTGTTAACATATTTCAATCATGTCCGTAATTTGGAATTTGAATATAGTTTAGCGATATTTATACTTGCTATTACAAAAATTACTAACATAGAGGATTGGTGATCAAACAGTATTTTTTATCACTATTATTTCTTAAATAAAACATGTGTGAATGTGTTCCCAAAGAAAACTGAGCATATGTAAATCCAACACATTAATGCATACTGAGAAACTCCAAACATGATCCGTATTTTGTTTAACCTCTAGATTACACTTCCAAACAGTATATTTAATTATTTTCTTAAGTCCTACTTCCTTTGATATTTAAAACATTTTGTAAAGATAATACTTTCTTGACATATAGCACAGTTGTAAACAACTGTAAGGAGCATAGACTGTACATAAACATGGTGTTATGCTCAGTGATGTCACCCATTGGTTTCTGAAGTGGACTTCTGCAGCCCATCGGTGCTGGTTATATCAAACGCTGTCTGAAAGTAACTTCGGTCAACCTAGTAACAGGCAAAGAGCTGGAGCTGAGGCGGGTCTCAAGCAAGAGACAGCTACAACACATTCCTCCGTCAGTCAGATCAGCCAAGCCCTTATTATGAATAACTTGTATGCAGCATAAAATCAAAAATCATTCCCCGAATAAAGTGTGTGCCGATCAATACACGAGATTATCGGACCAAATTTAGCTTTATGAGGCGCTTAAAAGTTTTATTTCTTCTGTTGCCGATGGTAAGATAACAAAGAGTGTTTATGTATTTTCAAGAATTACAAATACTTAGGACATCTTGCAAGTATTTCTCTTGTGGATGTTTCTCAGAGATAATAACCTTCATGAGATAAGAATTGTGTTATAAATCATTAAACTTGCTTCATATCATTGTTTTGCCTCTCAGTAGTTTTAAGTTCCTTCCCTGAAACAGTTCTTTCAACCATCATTTAGTGTTCTATTTCAGTCATCAGGTTTATGCAATTTTAACACTAGAACTGAAAAGTGTCTCAACGTGGGAGGACTTGTTCTAACATAGATATTCAACCCACCAGTTTCAGATGCATGCTTTGCTCTGCTTTATGTTGCTGTAAACTGAATATCTTTGATTCCATTTTCCTCTGACTCTTCTTTTACCAGTGAGAGTTAAGTGGTAAGGAATAGATTTCAATCTTTTGCTGACATTTTACTAACTTAATTGGCTCAATTAGAGGCCAGGGTTAAACTCTTGATGATAAAATTACAAGGAGATTTAAAAGAACACCTGCAGGACATTAAGAATCTAAAATATAGTATATTTTTATTTGCCATAGTGTAAATTGATGTATCTTCTCAAATCCTCCCCTAAATAATTGACACACATTCTGCTCACACTTCTTTCTTCCTTCTGCAGCACACTCCTCTCAACGCTCCAGGCATTTATATCCGGACTCTGATTCCTGACGGACCGGCTGCCTCTGACGGCAGGCTGAGGATCGGAGACCGCATCCTCGCAGTGAATGGGACCAGTCTGATCGGAGCAGACTACCAAAGGTACTCAGGATGTTTAAGACCATAACAATAGTCGGGAAGGGGAGAGTAATGATACTATTGGATGATAGTGGCATTGGTTACATAATAAGCAGTCTTCATACAATGTTAACCATCCCCCTGGCTGTCAGCCTCTTCAACCAATCGATTTCTGTGATTGATAGGTGTAAGCCCAGACATTGATGCACCTTGCTCTTTTATCTGCTGAGCTACAGGTAACCGGACTCTTTCTCTCTCTCCTCTTCTTCCCGTTTTTTTCCCCCCTCTCAGCGCGGTGGATCTGATTCGTCTCGGAGGAGGTCGCCTTCGTTTCCTGGTAGCCAAGTCAGACCCGGAGGTCTCCGAGAAGATCAGCGCCTCTTCCTGCTGAGCTCCGCCAAGACACGCACAACACACAGAGAAGACTGAGGAAGATGAACAGCAGGACGACGAGGGGTAAAGATGTGTGCACTGATGAGCAGGGTACACAGAAACACACATGGCAGCATGAAATATGAATGTGAAACCCAGCGACAGCACAACGCTTAGAAATCAAACTGAAGATGATGCTCCATGACTCCTCTCCAGCTGCCAGACCTGCTCCCCTTATGCTGACTCCTACTGGGTTTGTGTGACAGACAGGATCAGTAACCCACGGCGACATCAAAGGGATGTGCTGCAAGACAAGTTGCCTAATTAATCAGCGAGCTCTACCCGGCCAGTACACAGTTTACCAAAGTTTTAAGCACAGTAGATTTTAGGATTTTAATGTCTTCTCTGTCAGACCTCAGAGTACCCATGCACACTGGACATTTTCCAAACAGTTTTTAAAATCATTTTAAAATAATTATTCTACTAGCATGGCTAAAGGCTACAAATCTCTCAGACAAAGGGTACAGAGAATGTACTTCACAAACCTAAAAGCATTTGCCTACAAAGTGAAGACAGCCTCGTTGATCCTGGATGTCTAACAAAGTGAAAGCTTTTGGAGTGGAACGTTTTATAAACCTGTTTTTTTTTTTTTTTTATTGAACCCAAAAGCATGACTAAGGTCTGCTTAACAAACTGGACATAAGTGAATGAATGTTGACTTTTGTACTGAAGTGTCTGACGGAAGGGCAGAGGAATCAATCTGAAGAATGTCAACACATACAGCCCAGCTCTGCCATTTCACACTCAGGCTCACTGGATGTACCTCTCCTGCAAACCAGATGGACTATGATAAGAGGAGTGCAGCTGCAGTGGGACTCATTTTATCAAGGCCACATGTGTCACTCCAGAGTTTGATGCACACTCCTTGTGTGTTTGAAACACTGTTTTGCTGTGAATATGCTGTATGCTTCTGAGTCGACGGTGTAAATAGTTGTTTGTAAATATTCATCATCTGGTCTCAAAGTGTTTGGACGTTCAAAGAGAATCTGTATTTGGGGAACAACGCAATCTTGTTTTTTCCCCCCCCAAATATTCTGATCAGAAAAAAATGAAACCAACTGATGGTAAAAAAAAGAAAAAAAGAGACAGTATTGTTTGGGTTTAGAGAAAAAAAAGCTCTGATTGTGTTTTTTTTTCCTAAATCATATTTATTTGTTTTACATCCCGTGAATACGATACAACTTGTGCACTTCATTATTGTTCACACAGGTCCAAGCTTGACTAACAGAGAGAACCAACAATCTGAAATTACCACACACAAAAGTTTGACTTAAAATGGCATCTAGATATGCAGTTAATTGGTTTGTGATTGGGTTAGAAGATGCTTATATTTGATATTTCTGGCATTGAACTAATAAAATGGAGGGAATGGCATTTTGTTTTCTGGCATCAAGAAATTATAATAAGTTAAAGTGCACGAGTATCTCCAGACATAGATTCAGAGTTTCTCTGTTTAATCTACTGACCTTGCTGTTTTGTGGTTGTTGTTTTTGACATTTTGTTTGAGAAAATAATTGTTCTAATAAGGACTGTTCACTTAAAAGTTAAGATTTAAAACAACATAAATTAATTTTTAATGATCAATAGTATCAAAATCTGCCAATTTCATGTCATGTTTTTACCCACAGCCGCCAAAACGTTGGTACAACATTGCCAATGTATTGATGCAATATGGACAGTGTTAAGGAGTTCGCCTGCAAAAAAAATACTCGATATTGGGTACCAAGGATCTGGTATCCAAACAGGTAATGATAGTGTTTGAGTTTTACTTACGTATCAAAGTCTTAAACTCTGGTATCATGACAACCCTATTTCCCTGTGAGGTCTTTGGATTATCTAGAGAAACATCATTTGGTCTGAAAGATGCTGCTGATGATTTTTTGAAGCTCCATTTTCCCTGTGCACTAAACAAAAAAATCCTTTGACCTTCGCTGTATCGGAGAAGACGTAGACATCCCAAAGGCATTTTAAAACCTAACCTGATTTGATTTCAATATAAACAAGTTATACATAATTCAGATTAACTGTTAAAAGATGTCGAGTTAGAACTAGTCATCTTTTTACAAAAGCTTAGGTTACTAGAAGAAAACAAAAGTGCTGTGCTTTGTCAGTTTTCTTCTGCCTGGCCCTCTGCTCTGACCTCAGCTCCACACAGCTCCCCTGAGACGCACAGATCCCTGAGTCAGGAGCTGTGACCCTCTACCCTCTGCACAGCTGCAGGTTGAGATGTTCACTGTCTCACTGAATAAGATGCAGCTGTCACACAAAGTACTGAAGGACTGCAGGATAACCATTCAGAATTTTTACTAGGGATGCATTGATGATGAATTAAAATTAAACAGATTCTGTTTGTCTGAATTTTTAAGAAAAATGGACAGTATTTTTTTTCTTTTTAGCCAGAGGCCCAAACCCCCCAAAAAGTCAATTCTAGAGGCTTTTATAAAAAGGAAATTATTGCTGATGGTCAAACCTTATTTATGAGTTGAACTTTCAAATGTTTTTAAATACATTTTGACTTGCAGCACTTCTTTTGACAGTTATTGCCAATTCCATGGTTTTGTCTTTTGTTATTTTTATTCCTTCTTCCAATGTTGTTAAAACTTCCAAGCAAACATTTTATTTTTCCCCCATCAGCCTTGGTTTACTCTCCACGTTTTATTCTGTTAATTCTCTGGCAGTAACAGTTGATTGTTGTGCATTTGGAGGTTTGTATGACATTGATCTGATGCATGTCTATTCTTAATTCATGATACTGTTAAACAACAGATGGTACCTAAGAATAAAGATTGTTGGAAACTTTCATTTGTTGCCAAATGTAAACAACGTACTGCAGTGTGGAATCAAACCCAACATGTGACAAAAGGGAAAGACAACATATTAAAGTCAATGAGGAATTTTAATTTGTGCTACACATTTTAACAAATCACAAATACAGGAACATTTAAAAATACATATACTTCTCTATTTCCAGAATGTTTACGTATTGATGACAGCTGTTTTAACATATAGCAAAATATTTTTTCTTTTTTTCCAAAATAAGAAAAACAAACTTCTAAATAGCTTTATCATTTAGCAGATAAAGCAGCATACAATCATTACACATCTTTTTTTTTTTTTCTTTCTTATAATGTGCAACAATGATCACTGAAATATTGCGCAAGTTGTGCCTGATTGCCAGCTTTAAAAGAAGCCTGTGAGATTGCATTCAGCTAAAGGCAGAGTGAAAATGAGTGAGAAGAGAGAGAGGGGGGAGAAAGTGCTGCAGAATATCTGATTAAGGCAGTGTGTCTGTGCCAACAGCTCGACGCCTCGTTTGAGGCAGAAAATATGGAGACTGCTCACTGAGGAGAGGGAGGAGGAGAAAGGTAAAGGATAAAAAGGTCAAAATAAAAAAAGTGGGGAGCAAAGATTAGAAAAGATGCCAAAAGTACCCTGAAGAAATAAAGAAAACATCAAGAGAGCAGATGAATATGTGGTCATGTGTTGGTCCCGCCCTTCCCCTTATAAAACCGATACAAGTCTACTGATGCAACGTAACTATCACCACTGTAGTGTTGCTAATTGTGTACTGTTAAAGAAGCGCTGTATTAATCTACAAAAAAAGGTTAAGCTGTCTACGGGTTAAAGTAAAATGACAACGAAAAATGTAGAAATACTTAAGGCTTTAAGGATTATTTCAATAATGCTTTTCTGTGCTAAGACAAAAACTGTACGCACAAGCTGTTCAATTTCTCCTTGAACCACTACTAAAAAATAATAATAATAATAATAAAACAACAATCAGTTTGTCTACATTAGGTCAGCTCCACTTTAATCAACTCTGAATAGTTGCCTCTTGTTTCTGCCCTTTCTTTGCTACAGCTCTGCTGTCTAATCATGCAGGTCATCTTGAATTTAGCTTTACTCTGACAAACCGCACTGAGCTGCAGGGAAGCAAGATCTGAGAAAGTCTTGGTTTGTTTTATGAGTTTTCCTTTCCATTACTTTTACAAAAACATTACCCTGTTCTTATTGTGTGAGAAGGCAAGAGGAAGATGCCTCACATTCAGATCCAGGCCTCAGTGTATACACGTTTTTTTTTTCTCTTTTCTAAGAAAGACAACCTGTTTTTTTTCAGTAAGGATTGCCTTGTGAAGAGTACAATCATATTCTTAAAAGTCTCCCAAACATCAACCCTGTCAGTGACAATATACAGTTAAGTCCTCTCTTATCTTTATGTCCACAAGTGTGTGAATTTACACATTATGTCATCTCTGATTATCACAGCTTCTTCCGTTAATTTCAGCCATTTTCAAACATGCGAACACACATTCCCTGGTTTTAAATCAAACTATGACTCTTATCACAAGTGCAGGAGAGGTGAGTTCTTTGGCCTGAGAGCGACTGATGCATTCAATCCATTATCAAGAAGAGACCAGTCTGATAAGCCAACATTCACGTAGAAAAAGTAGTGCTGAAATGATTATCAATATGTATAATGCTCTCACAAGCTTAACTCAATTCTTAATTTATTGTGAATAATGGATCACATTAAAAAGTCTGTAAAGCTGAAAAAACTCCTGAAAGATATTCTTTATACATTCAGAATGTATTTGAAACGTTTCATCTATTTTTGACCAAAATATAATGTTCCTTATAAGTGAATTCCCTTCTGTTGAGAGAGGCTGCCTGTACATTTTTTGGCCGTTGCGGCTGCAGTCATATCAAATGAGTATAAAAGGCAAAGCAGTTTGGGGACAATAAGAAGGCTGTCCATCGGGTACCTGTTAAGAGGCCCTGGGGTTTTTACATCCTGGGGTCTTGGGTTTGGGATGTCATGGCAACGATGACAGGCTGCTGGGCAGATGTTACCTGATGATGAGCAGATTCAGTCCCACCCTCGTTCTCCATCTTTGGCCGCTTGGCCTGGGGCTCACCTGGCTGCTCAGCTAAAGTTTCTGCATTGGGGTGTCGGCTCACCAGCACTGGAGGGGAGCTGGAGGCCTGAGCAGCCAGGATCTGGAGAGGACTACAGAGGCCTGGAGAGGAAAACAGCGCATCAGTATGATTTCAATCCCCATCTTTCTAAGCTTAAACGTCTATTTTCTTCAGCATGACTGCTGTCTGTGTTAAGTAACTGCAGAACAACGTACCAGATGCAATAGCAAGGCTGTTCGCCGTGGCAACAACAGCAGTGGTGTGTTTGCCATTCTGGGTCACCGGACGGACAGGAAGTTGATGTAAACCTGGGACGAAGTTCCTCCCATCCCCGCCCTGCTGCACCGCACTGTCCACAGTCTGAATCACCTGCTCCCTGTTCAGCTGGGCTTCTGATACAAACACAAGTACACCATCTTCAAAAATAGAACAACGAAACCTGTTTAATGTTCATGAAAGTGTATTATATATGATCAGTCAGCTCAAAGCAGAGTTGAGGTTGATTCATAAAAAAAAAAAATCATATTTATTTCTGTTCCATCCAAAATCCCCAGCCTGAGAGGAGTGAAAAGATGTGAAATTAATATATTTATTTCTGAAGCTCCAGTGTTTATCCTGCTCTGCATCGGTCTTGAAACCTTCCTGCCTTCTAACCTCTCTCTGTTGTTCAGCATCTCCAATATTAACCCTAGTTTTACCTTGTTTCTGGTCGTGGAGCTTATTAGGAAAATGCCTAGGCTTTTAAGGTCGGGTAGAATTATGTAAATCTGAATCAGTTTGGTTGCCTGCTTTCAATACTGCAACACTTATTGGTTTACCATTAGCCTGGCAAACCAAGGGGCAAAACGGCCGTGTGCGGGTGCCGTAAAGCCGCCTACTTCTCTGGTCAATGTTAAAAAAAAAAAAACCATTCCAGGCCAAAATCGAAACTTTGCAGGAGGACATACTGGCTGCAGCATTGTTGACAGAGAAGCCAGCACTCAACATAGCTTGATTCCTTAATGTCTGATGATATAGTAAAGTTATTTATCATTTAATACAGTAGATTTTTTTATCTTTAAATAAAGGGGAGATAAAAGCAAACCTAATCTGTCAGAAATATCCTCAACACTGCAGATAAGTGCAAACAATTACAAAGTATGAAAAGACAAGATCCGCATTAAATAAGAAGACCAGTTTGTGTACCAATCAGGTACATGTAAAATAAAAAAGAGCATCCAAGAGAAATTTCCATGGCAGTACCTCTGAGATCACTGTTGCCCTCTGCTGCTCCAACAGAGGATGTGCTGTACCCATTCAGAGGATTGGATGCAAGAGGGGCACTGGTTACCACCCTGAGCATGGTGATGGAGGACTGAGGGGCGTTCTGAAGCAGGTGGATGGGCTGGACTTGACCACCACCACCTGGAACTAGAGCAAGGGCTTTCCCTGCCAGGTGATGGGGGGCAGCCATGATGACAGGCTGAGCACTGACTGGAGATCCTGCACAGAGACACAAACAAGAATTGTACCTGTTATGTAGTGTGTGAAGTAGGGCTGAACTTGCCATGAGCACATAGTCAGACCTGAAGAACATTACAGTATGTTGCCACTTTAGTGTTGTTTTCTCTCTTGAACATGTCCATGACTTATGTACAAAAAGTCTGTCTGATATCACCATCAGTAGTCACAGAACTGACCACTGTGCATGCAGAGTCGGTGTGTTTCTGCATACAAAAATGCACGGGTTACAGGTAACGCTGCTTTGTGACAGACACATCAGCATGAAGCTTGAAGCAGACAATCACAGAGTTGAATGAGTGGATTCCTCGCCATCATCGGTCCCTCTCCCCGGTGCCAGTTAATGCTTTTGTCACATATACCGACCATTAACAGTGCTGCTGATTGTTCACTTTTGAGGGCGACACCTGCAGCTAACATGGTGAATCAGGCATTGGCCACTGGCAACTCAATATGGTGAGCTTTGGTTTAATTAGAAGTTACAATCACAAGGCTGCTCTTGTTGGCCTAAACTAAACATAACTTTGAACTTTGTTAGGATTGGTTGATGATGTGTAACACAATTGCAAACCACAAGTTTATTTTTGAAGTTTATGAAGAATGTGTAACTCCAGCTGATCTCTCCACCTTTTCTACTCAGAGCTGCTGTCAGAAGGCCGGACCAAGGGTGTGATGAAAGTGGGAGGTGGCATTTGAAATCAGAAAATGACTTAAGGACCCGCTTAAGTAAAATTGTCTGATTAAAAATTTCAATGATGTACATAAAAAGACACTGCATTCATCAGGTCAAATATTCTTTAAAAAACCCCAATATATATCACACAAAGAAAAATATTGTTCCTAATAACGTTCAGTTTTAGTATGACATGTTACACATATTACATGTGTGATTTTGATTGTGTTTTGTATCTCACCTGGGGCACTCTGAGAGTACCTGTACTCAGGCACAGATGCCAATTTGTGAGCTAGCTGCTCATGGTGGTCATGGGGGATGGGAGAGCCCTCCCTGCTCAGACATTCAGGAGTCTGCAGCCCGCTGGATGGAGGAGAGAGAAGCCCCTGGTGGGTCGGGGATGCAGGGGCACTCCTAGAAAAGTAGTAATGAGGAGACGACCAAGGAAATCAATAATTACATCAAGAGACTTCTTGTGATATACAGAGCTCCTTCACTGCCAGTGCCTAGAAAGACTTACTTTGTTCTATCCAATCAAATGATAGCCAAGAGCAGAAGCAGAGAGATAAAAGAGAGGGTTATCGGAAGCAAACAAGTCAGAAGCCAAAGAGCACGAGACCAGAAGTGGCTGACAGCCTAGTGTGCATGTGCTCGAAAGCTGCAACAATGATATAATAATAATTATAAAATATATAATATAAAGAAAGATAAA